AGAATCTTTGTCTTCTTGACATTGAGCCTCAGTCCATACTGAAGGCTGCAGTCCTTGACCCTCTGCAGTAAGTGCATGAGGTCCTCCTCAGTTTACAACAACAAAAACTTTAATTGACTTGGAACCACATCGGACTCATGGAGACCCTTGATGTGTTAGAGTAGCTCTGTGTCGCATGGCTTTTCAGCGGCTGGATTGTAGGATGTGGTCCATCAGGCAAACCATGGGTATTCAATATCCTTTGTCAGTACTACAGTCAAATGCATCCCTCCATCACTCACTCACTGCCGTGGGGCTGGGGTCTCATCTAGAACAATTCTTCCTCAGATTTCCAAAGCTATAAATCCCAACAGAAGGGAGCCCTGCTGGCTTAGTGGGTAAGAAAGAAGTTGCCCTGCCAATCCAAAGACAGACGGTTAGAAGCCACCACCTGCCCTGTGGGAGAAAAATGGGCAATCTCCCCCTACGCAACTGACAATCTCTGAAAACCAGATGGAGGGTCAGCTATGGGTCGGTTCTGATTTGAGGGCAATGAGCCAGTTGGGTCAGTCAAATCCTTCTCAGAGGACATGTTTTGCCAACACCATATTCTTCTTTATTATCCCTTATTCATTGTCCAGTTGAGAAGAAATGAATGCTGTATTAAATTAAAAAAAATTATAAAAGCCACCCAAGCCAATATATGCACACACCCATGTTTATCACAGCTTTGTTCACAATAGCAGAGAGTTGGAAACAACCTAAATGCCATCAACAAATGAATGGATAGAGAAGCTCTGGTATATTCACACAATGGAATACTATGCAGCACTGAAAAACAAGGAACTCATGCAATATTATTCAAAATGAGTGACCCTGGAGGACACGATGCTGAGTGAAATATCTCAGTCACAAAAGTGCAAATCCTGGGGAGCTCTGGTGGCCTAGTGGCAAGAAGCTGCACTGCAATCCCAGAGGCACATGGTTTGAATCCACCAGATGCTCTGCCGGGGAAGGAGGGACAATCTCCTCCCATACCTGTCAGATCTGATTTGACAGTACACACACACAAAAGTAATAAATTTTTTTAAAAAAATACGAATACTGCATAGTGCCACTGTTGTAAAACAGGACTGACATCAGGGTTTGGGGAGAATGAGAAAGATGGGTTCAATAATGCATATTGTATGGGAGCTCTGGTGGCCTAGTGGTAAGACGCTGCACTGCAATCCCAGAAGTATGCGGTTCAAATCCACCAGATGCTCTGCTGGAGAAGGAGGGGGCAGTCTCCGTCTGAACCAGTCAGATCTGATTTGACGGTACACATAAAAATAATACAATAAAAATTTAAAAAAAAAATGTATATTGCACTGAAACAGATGAGGGAGAAAACTGTTTAAAAGGGATGTGTGATTAGGTATTATTGTCATGACAGGAGTCCAGAACGAAGGCTGCACAGTGGAGTGGACTTGGGAGGGAGGGATTGTATAACAATGCAAGAATTTTTCTTTTACTTTTCAAAGAGAAGAGCGAATTGGGGGAGAGGGGGAGCAGGGAGAAAAGTGCAACAATGAATGAATGGAAATCTTAAGTCTCTGTAAACTTTCATTAAAATTAATAAAAAAATTGAAAAAATGAATTAATACACGTTTTGTTAGGACTGCCCCTTTGTCCAACTTTTTCCATAGCACCATGAGACTGTGACACAGCCATCCGTGGCTCCCTGCGCCCTCCCCCCCCCCCCCCGATGCCTGGACAAAGCTTGAGTGATTTGCTGTCATCTCATTACCTGGAAAGGTTGAGGACACGACAGAGTCCTGGCTCCAGCTCTCAGCCCGCTCTGCCCACCATGGTCCCGAGGCTGCTTCTCCTGCTGCTGGCCCTCTGTGAGCACCCCCTCTTCTCCCTGGACCCCACCAGAATGGGCTGCGGCATGGGACATAGGCTCTGAGGATACTGACACCCCAAATAGGGAGGAGACGTGGGAGGGGGGTGCCGGACTGCAGAATCTCCCAAACAGGCTGTAGAGAATTTGTGGCCAGAAAGAGAAGACAGGCCTTGGGCCCAGAGGCTGGGTTTGAAAACAGAAACAAGTAGGAGTTTGGAATTCCCGAATCCCTGGAAGAGAAGGGCTTTCAGAGCAAGATTCTCTGGATTTAGGGCATGGATAGGGGACAAGACTCCTGCGTCTGAAAGAGGAGGGTCTAGGGATCCAAGACTCCTGGTTCTGAGGGAGGAGGGGCTTGGGGTCTAATGTTTTGATTGCTTGATGAGAAGGATAGTGAGGCCCTCAATCTCCAGATTACTGTGGGGACAGAGGAGGGGATTTTTGGATTCCCAAGTTTCTAAAATTGGCTGCCAGATGTTTGGGAAAAGAGGGGGCATGGGTGAGGCTTCTTGAATCCTGAGAGAGGAAGATGCTAGGATCCCAGACTGCTGAATCCCCCGGGAGGAAAACTATGAGTCCAGTATCCTTGGAAAAGCAGCATCCCCGGGCCTGAACTCTTTGGTGTCCATGGAAGTCGGGGCTGGGCCCGGATTGCTGGCCTTCCCTGTTGGTGGCGTGAGGTGTCTGGGCACTGGGAGAGCAGGACGTAGACAGGCAGCACCCCATTCCTGACCACTCAGTTTTACTGTGGATTCCTGTCTCCCAAAGGAAGAAGTCTGGGCTCCCGGTGTGGGTGTGGGTAGGAGCAACTTAGAGCATTGAGAATACCAATCGCACTGGTGGTGCAAGGCTTAAGCATTTGACTGCTGTCCAAAATGAGAACAGAGAGGCCGTCTGCTTCCATAAAGATTACATACAGCCAAGGTCAAGTGCTTCCCTGCCATGCATTATTCCTGCAAAAACTAAGCCCCAAACCCCCGTCCCTACTGCCAGGGGGTACATTCTGTCTCACAGCTCCCAGCAGGACGTGGTAGAAATGGCTGCAGATGGTTTCCAAGGCTGCAAGTCTGTGAAGCTGACAGCTTCCTCTCTCGTGGGCTCAAACGAATCATGGGTGGGGATCCAAGAATTTAGACACTGCGCCACCACGCTTCCTTTCTGTAAATCTTATGGCCACACGCTCTGGGAGTCCACTGTCACACAAGCAGCAGTAGACAGGTTTATAAGGAACTGCCAACCCGAAGGCAGGCAGTTCGAATCCGTCAGCAGCTCGGAGGGAGAAGGATGGGTAATCTATTCCTGTGCAGTTTGCAACCTCTGACAGGCCCCTGGAGGGTCAGCTGGCTGACGGGAGTGGTTCAGACTTGAGGGCAATGAACGTTGTTGTTGAGACGTCTAAGAATTCGTGTCTATCAGACGTGGTGGGGATGGTCCAGGCTAGAGATTCAGATCCTCAAAGTCTGGAAGCAGAATGTGTAAGAACGGCAGAACGGAAACACTATCCGCTCTGTCAGTTCACCCCAATAATAAGAACAACTTAGGGGGAAAAATATTACAGACGAAAGAGGGCTGAGGAGCATTTTGCCATCACAGTTTGCACCCTGTCAGGATGGCAGCCTCTTCCTCTGTCCCCTAACGCCACTCCTCTTCCTGCAGGGCCCGATGATCTTCACGCAGACCTCACTCCGCCTGGTGAGTACCATCCCCACGTGCCCCGTGATGCCCCACTTCCAACCACGCAGGTCAGCTGTGGTGCCCAGCCCCTCCTTGGATTTCCTGTTCCTCGCTTTCCACTCTGCTTCTCTTCCTCCCTTTCTCCTCCCCTTGATGACCATGATGCCATTATGGCAAAGACAAGGACTTTGGTGTAGCACAGACTTAAGCTGGAATTTAGGTCCCTGGAAGAGGAGGAGGTTGGAAGCAGGGTTCTTTGGATTTTGAGGCTGGACTCCCAGGTCTGAGGGAGGAAGGGCTGGGGGTCAGGACTCCTGGGTCTGAGGGAGGAGGGGCTGGGGGTCAGGACTTCTGGGTCTGAGAAAAGAGAGACTGGGGTTCAGGACTTTCAGGTCTGAAGGACCAGAGGCTGGTGGGCTGAAGGAGGAGGGGCTGGGGGGGCTGGATTCCTGGGTCTGGGAGGAAGGGCTAGGGGTCAGGACTCCTGGGTCTGGGAGGAGGGGCTGGGGATCAGAACTCCTGGGTCTGGGAGGAGGGGCTGGGGGTCAGGACTCCCAGGTCTGAGGGAGGAGGGGCTGGGGGTCAGGACTCCTGGGTCTGAGGG